CCAGCGCGCTTCTTAAGCGCCACGATTTTCACGTGAAACGTGCTTTGTCTCGTCAGGAGGGGTCTAGAAATTTGTGAAGTCAAAAAGTGAAGCCGCCGCTTAAATCGATGCTAACTGGCTGATCCAGGTGATGACGTCACAGCCCCTAGCTCAACGCTGATTGGCCGGTTCAGGTTCACGAATAGCGCCAGGGGTTCAAAATCTGGTTTGTGCGGGTATCTCCCTTCCGGGAATTGCTATCGAGTGTACATGCCACGCGTTAAGCCAGTCACTAGACTAACCGATGAAGAGCGCAAAGAGCATAGACGTCAATAGACCACTTGCTATATTACTCACGCATCACGAAGAATGCAGGGATTGGTGTTCCACGCGCCACACGCGCACGCCTTCCCCGTATGAAAGATTCGAAGTAAATAACCAAAATAAAGCGTTGACGAACGCGCGTGCAAGGTGCCATTTGCTTTAGGTTTTTGCTTCAAAACATTTACTACTGCTAGGGCCAGCTCGTGCGGCGCGTGGAACACCAATCCCTGCATTCTCCTTGATGCTTGGGTAATATAGCAATAGATCTATCCCAGGGGAATCGAACTGAAACCACACGTTTCACCTGTAACACAATAGGCCGATCTCACCAGCCTGTTTCGCTGCGCCACCGCTGCCGGAATGCATTGTGGGAACTATAGTGTTTCCACACGCTCAAATTCCCTGCCGCGGGTCCGAACGAACTGGCCACGAGAAAACACGAGCACGAGACGGCACTGACATCTGACTCCTGTGAACTAAAGTTATGGTGGTGTCACGCATGCATGGAACGCTTAGTGAGATCGGTCTATTGCCCAGCTATTTGCTTTGCATTTTTTTTTCTCTAAAAATACAGAATCACGTGGCTTTCAGTGACACTCAGCAAGCTTCTGATTGGAACCATGAGTATATTTTCACTAATTCAAAAGTTAATTAACACACTTTCAGTTAACTTTTCTGCTTAACGAGACAATTATCCCCTATATTGTGCCCTCCCCCCTCTCCCCCGCCGTATAGCTCAACTGCATCGACCACATCCGTGAAGCTTTCACGACTTTTTTTAAAGCAAATCGGTAAGGCCTAGAAGCACTCGGGTTCCTGACAAGCCCAAGCTTTGAACACTGTGACGCCCGCGAGAGAGTCACCTGAGCAATATTTTATTGTTCTCCCCCGGCAGGAAAGGATACAATATTTTTTGACAAATCTAGACTCAAGAACGCGCTTAGTAATAAATGTTACTGCTTTGTTAAAAAAAGTAATTAATAAAGATGCAGCACATTATTTTATTGCTATTTCTAAACATATATTGCTATTGCCAAACTCATTGCTAAGCGAGTAACTGTTTTACGTAAAAAACCGTGAGGCTTATTTCTTCCCACTCTTACCGTCCGCATTCCAGACTAACCTATGTAAGCTTCCAAACAATACGGGAAAGCATCTGTGTCGGGTAGTAAATAGAGTTTTTTTTTTTTTTTTTATCTACTGGTATTCAAATGTTTGTTTTTTTCTGTTCCGCAGTGCTGGACTCATTTGGTCGCCCACCGGCAGGAATGATGTCGGGGCGATTGGCCGACTATGGCGCGTATGACCAATGCCTCGCTGTCAGACATCCGCAGAACGCTTTCCAAGGAAAGTACTGCTTGATTCACGTGAAGGGAATCGGAAAGATTACTCCCAGGTTCCAGGAGTTGTCCAACAAATACCTCGAACATATCAACTTCAAGGTAAGATGTAAAACCCTAACCAAATTTAAAAAAAAAAAAAAAACATCTCTAAAATCTTTATTAGCGTTTTCGTCCGAAGTAATCGGGATGTGACACCGATCCCACATTAACGCTGCTATTGTTTCCCTCTCTGAATCAACTGAAAAATTTTATGATGTATTTAATTCTGTGAACAATATATTGGTAGTGTACTTTGTTTTACTGAATTATATTGCATCAAGTCGTACACAGATCATTTTTTGTTGTTTCTTTTGATTTACAGTGCTGAATTGCATTAGGTCATCAAGGATCATGTTTTATTTCTCTTCGACCTTTTAAGGTTTATTTTGTATAAGAAATGCTAGTGCAAATTACGTCGTATTTCCTTTGCATGAGATATAATTCCATTTACTTAATAAGATGCTTTTTAAGATTATTGAAGAATATCTACCTATGGTTGGTAAAAATCAATATGGAATAATGTACTAACTTTGTACTTTTATGAAACAAAATATGCACGTAAGTTTAGCAAACTTCAATATCTCAAGTATTTTTTTAATATACGACTAGTGTGCTTCGGATTTTATCAAATAGGGTCGGCGCGTCGACCGAGTCTGTCAACTTAGTTGCGCCTGCTAGAAGTATAAGTGTAACATACTATCTATAAACTACAAAACGCTTTAAAATACTTTGCAAAGTGTTTAAAAAGCGCTCATTTAGTATACCTTTAGCGAATTACCTTTATATTACTCTTATATGTTTCGCTATAACGTGTACGCACACCCGGTGGTAATTTTATGACACTATATAATACGAAAACGATACAGAACCTAGTACGCAACAATCAACCAAGTGGTGGCTGTGAAGCCCGAGTGTTTGGGACGAAGGCGATGTTAAGTGTCCGTAATCTCAGCTACTAGTCAGCTTTGGGCACGTCTTTCCACTTGGTACAAGAGACTCAAACACGCGACTTGCGGGCTGCACTCGGCCGGCAACTTTCTAAGACCAGGCCCGCCTATATCCCGTAGATGGGTGCCCAGTTCTCACGTCTCGAGTGCTGCATGCGCTGTAAATAGTAGTTTAATATCGTCGATTCATTTCCCCACGGGAAGAGGTTCTGAATAAATACTGTGCTTACACATTTTGTTCTATTCTGTTATATTTTGAACAGAGTATGGCTTCGTCCAAAATTTGCTTCTCAGGCTCAGCCCTTTCGCACAAATCAACCGAAACGAGAATACCACTACTAGGCTATAAGCACCAGCTCTATACTTAAGGACGCAGCTCGACTGTACGATCTCTCCTAGCAGAAGGAATAGCCAAAAATATCGCTAGGAGCTCAGGTTTCAGCCGTCAGAAAATACCTATAAAATTCAAAGATATATTTCTATAAGGCTGCTATAAAAATTGACAAGAAAGCAAAACCTGCCGTATGAAGAGATATATTTTTTTCATTCCTGTCGAGCCTATGTGAATTGTGCGATATTCTCTTAAAATTGCCTGCGCGCCTACTTACCCGCAAAACACTCAAAGAGCCAATCTCTGCGATCTACGAAATCAGCTCAGCAAATTATCAGGTGTAACATCTACTTAGACCTAAAAGTAAGTGTGCGCTGTGATATTACGCAATGCAAGCATGACGCTTTGCACTGCGCAGTGTCACAGCGCATGCTTCATTTTTAGGTCTGATCGGACGTTCCGCCTCATCATTCGCTGAGATGATTTCGTAGATCGCAGAGATTGGCTCTTTGAGCGTTCTGCGGGTAAGTAGACGCGCAGGCATTTCTTAGAGTCTATAGTTGCTGAGGGCTTGCGTCGGTTTCAGCGACTCTTGGTGAAAAAAAGGTAGTGACCTTTACCTTAGCTGCAGAGTTGCACGTTCATCCCCGTAGCGCCGTCTTTCCTGTACGACATGTTAATCCTGCTCCTCACGTGACTGAATACAGCGAATAGCAGCGCCGCGCGTTCGAGGCGCGCGGCGCGCTCAAAAGCAGGGGAACGTACGCCCAGGAGCGCGCAACGTCTACTTTCCTGCACGGCACTTGATCCGGCTCCTCACGTGATCGGATCTCGGCGAATAGCGGCGCGGCGACAAGTGGAACACATATGCGCAACTTTGGGTCCCGCAGGGAGCCTATACAGAAACTATAGCCGCCATTGCTGGCCTGTTTTTCGGCCTGCGCCTGCACTCCGGTTACTTTGCATGCGGCTGTTTGTCTGACGATGAGCGGCCGCAGTGGGACAAATAAACGTGCTCTGTAGTGGGTTGCGAAGACTGCAGTGGCGACATTGAGGTCTAGAACCACGCTGTGTACACTCACCATGTCCCGCTAAAGCACATGGACCGTCCGTGCTTGGTGCCGTTTTCGGTGCACTGATTCGTATACTGAAAAACCCGAGCAGAGCATCTTTAAGGCGGGACTGGCAGATCTTCTTCTCGGGCCGCGCTCGCAGATCAGTGACTGCTCATTCGCGCAAGGCTTTCTGCCCAACAGGTTCTCTGCTGTAACTCATTCGATGCACACCCAACATCAAACACGACATTTTACTGGTCAGCGACGAGGCGCAGCAACAAAGACCGCACGCGAGCGACACCCGGGCGACGAGCGAAGTTTACCAGAAGTTTGTATTAGAACCGAGCGGTGCGACGAGCAACAGCAAGCAAACCCCCCAAACGCGGGCTCAGCCCGTCCCTGATCGCAAAGGTTTTCGCGCGCCAAATCATCTATGTACTTAAAGTACCCAAATGCCGAGAGCAACATGACGTCGACGAGTAAAGTACACAGATGCTGCGATGGATAAGACTGAGATAGCCTTGCTGTGTCAACTCGAAATTCGCAGAAGTCGCAATGGGTTTCAACTACCTTTATTTCCAGAAAAAAACGTAACAAATGCGATGAACTCCCATGGTTCATAATCTTGTGTCGTCGACCGATTCACAATCAGATTCTATCGCATATAACACACCGGCGCTGGCTGGCGAAGCGCAGAACGCATTGCCATCGTAGTGCAGCAGCGCGGAAACTGGAGGCCGGCAATGGCGAACGGGTCACATGATGCCAATATGGCGGCGCCCATGCAAAGTTGCCTGAAAGCGTCTATACAGTGGCCAGTTTATTGTATGAAATTCCTAGAACCCGTTTACGTATATCCTGTAGCCTATGTTCCGCGTGTATCTGAAAACAAAAAAGTTTCTAACTACCTGTTCCTACATAATGAACGCAGTACGTTGGAAACCTCAGCGATTTGGGCGAAGCAACGGAAATAGGGGAAGTGATGCCATTCTTCAAGCTTGGATCTTGCATTCCATCCTCGTGCCGAAAAGAAGATCTACAGGTGATTTTGGACATTGGTAAGCGCAACTGTTTCCACAGACAGGCTTAAGGAGAGCGCACTCCTTTGCAGACGTCGAGCTTTGAAAGCTAAATTTAAAGGCTCTATTTTTCCTAATTAAAACCCCACACAACAAAAGTCCAATCAAATTTCGGTGTTAATCATGCTTATTTTGTCGTCCTTCGCAGTCTACTGAGCCCTTATAGTTACTCAGGGCTTGCGTCGGCTTCAGCGACTGTTAGCGAAAAATTTGCAGGGACCTTCACCTTCAAAGTTTTCTAATGCATGAAGTGCAGTATTGAAGAAGCGGTCGGTGTCATCTGTTACGATGACTATTTACACTCTTGTATATTACAGGTCACGTGGCATCAGCAAATATAAAAATATAGGTCAGGTGATGTCAGCTCACGCGACGCCAATGTTTCAGCTAAAGTTAGGCGGAGCTAAATTTCTGTCGAGTTCACGCGACATCAGGTAGCTTGACATCAATTTCCCCGCCAACTTTAGCGGGGATACTAAGTTGCTGTATAGGTCACCTGACACTAAATTTTCATTCAAATCTAGCGTGAAAATTGAATTTGTGTATCGCGTTCACGTGACGTAAATGTTCCCAAAAAAATTTAGCGGGAAAAACTAGATTGGTACGTAGTTCATTCGACGTCAGGTCACGTGATATCGATTTTCAACTAAATTTAGCGTGGAAAGTGAATCGGTGCATAGGTCACGTGAGATCCGGTAACGGGACATCAATTTTCACTACAAAATTTCCCGGGAAAACTGAATTTGCGTATAGGTCACCTGACATCAATTTTGCCGCGAAATTTAGCTGAGAAACTGAATTTCTCTCAGGTCATGTGACGTCATGTCACATGACTATAGTTTTTCGCTAAATTTAGCGGAGAAACTGAAATCGTGTATAGCTCACGTGACATTAAATTCTGCGCTAATTGCAGCGGGAAATACACGGACGGACTGACCGTTCCGCGGTACAGAAACAATCGCCCGTGATCAAGGTGCCGAGTTGGCCACGAAACCTCGTGATCTTTGCTTTTATTGAAGCGGAGTCAGAATTCCAAGTTTAAGTGTCATATCATTAAAAAAAAAATTAAATTGGCACCTACGTAAAAAATTATCTCAGCCTTAAAACAAGTTAACCGTCGTTTTGGTTTATATCTCAAAAGCGCGTGTAAATTCACGGTATTTACAGGTCTTCGGTGACGTCACAGTTCCACATGAGATCACAGTGTTACGTGAGGTTCCAGTGTCACGTAAAATCACAAACATCATTCGCGAAGCCTAACAGGAGGCAGAAGTCCGCTTCACCAAGGCTGTGTTAGGCGGAAGGCCCACAAGGAGAGCGCTAGGCCTATCCCTATAAGGTCTAGACGTTTAGAAATAGGCTATACGGAGAGAAAGTGAGTAAGAGGAGGATTTGATCATAGCGTGTACGGTAACGTTAGAGCGCCGAGCTCTGATGGGAAGGAAAAAAAGACAGTGCGCAGACACAAAGATAGATGGCCTTTCGGTCTACCCTCTATCCTTCCGATCAGAGCTCGGAGCTCTACCGTTATCTCACGCTATAATCTCTCACTCTGCCTCAGTTTTTCTCTCTAGAGTCTCGAGTGCAGTTTAACATCTTGTTGGGCATCGAGACTAAAGTCAAGGTCGAAAGATTGTTTTAAATACATCCATCCTAAGTACTTCGAATGCAACATAATCTGAAGAACCAAATTTCTAGCTAATCTCTGTTAAAATATAGGGTCCAATTTTCGAGCGTTGAATCGCGCCAATGATCTTCCTGTCACCTGTATAGAGGTTTGGATTATGTATATTTGAGTCTGCAAATTGTCTCAGTATTTGTGCTTGACCCATTTGAAGGAGATCACCAGTCTTGCGCGGAACTATATTATAATCATGCCCTCTACAGTGCTTTCAAAGTACGGACTGAGAATCAACGTACCCTGGTGCAAAGTTCAAGAACCAGTGCCCCTCGATCGGCGACAGATCGCGATCATGTGAGTGGGGTTAACATCGTCAAAAAAGATTATTTTCAGAGCCGAGCGATGGAAGGAATGTGCGAGAAACCCTATTTATAAAAGCGATGTTGAAGATTTTTGTGTTTGTGTTTCAGATGCATTTTTGGAGTCTGGCTGTGTTTCATTGCCATCGGAACCACCTATGACTTATGCCGATCCGTGGGGTCGAAAAATGAGAGCGAATACCCGGAGAAGTCACAAACACCCGGTAATTCCACGCACACAGCTTTTGTAAGCTATGTAACTTATATTCATGGGCTCTCGCAATGCGCAGGAAAAACTTAAGTCTATCATCGCAAATCGATTCTGTTACTAAATTTTCGTTCTCATTTTTATTATGTTTGTGTCTATTTTTTTAAGAACACATATCGATATTGGCACCCACTGACCGTTGCAGTTTACACTCTGATCCCTAATTCTAGATCCCAAGTTATTCTATTGAATTTGTGCTTGAAATGCTCGATAATATTTAGTATGCTCGCGCATATTGTTCAAAATAATTTTTAAAACCACATAAAGGAAGAGAAAACTACATAAAAGGGTAACTCCGGTCAAAATATCGGACCAAAATAAACGACTAATATCGATCGATTCAGGAAGACTAAATTCGAGCACTGCCAAAATATTACACTCATCGGAAAACCCCGATGCACTCTAAAAACGATGTTAAAAATGCTACCACCTGCTTCTCAGCGTGCATTTAGTTGGTTGGATTTTTGTCAAGCAACCTTGTGCCTCGGCGTCATGTTCGTAGTCAAGGAGGACGCTCGTTCCTACTGGGACGCCTTTCGCCGTGCCTTTCTGTTTTCTTTTTCAGCCGTTCCAACGGACGGTTTCTGCTTCTATGTTATGTTCTAGCGGCCTTCGTTTGTAAGTGCTTCTCAGCGTTCGCGCGAACGGTTATTGACTCCCTGCTTGCTCAACTCTGTCGTGGTGCCTAAGTGCAAGGAGCCCAGGAGACTGGAATCACTGTGCAATGCCGAGCACACCTTTCTGTGCTGTAGGTTGTGCAAGCGACCCGCTGCGCAACCCCCGGACGTGCATTTTTCCCATTTGCCCAAAAACTCAAAGTTAAGGAAGGTGTGGCTCGACGCCATCCGTGGAAGAGATTTCGGAAGGCCATAGACACCGCAACCTTCAATGGCGGTTATTGTTAAGTTCGTTCCCGCTCAGCGCGAGTTTACGATGAGGTTCTACTACGCTTCTGCAACTTGATTTGCACAGTAATGTTTGGAGGTGGGCTAGTCGGTGATGCATTGTAAACATAGAAATAAAACAGCGCAAACAAACACAAGGACAAGTAGAGGTGTCTGTGTCCCTCCTTCTACTTGTCCTTGTGTTTGTTTGCGCTGTTTTATTTCTATGTTTACAATTGATTTGCACACCACCAAGATTGTAGTTTTCAGGAAATGGACACTTCCTGGACAAAACAAAAGCAGTCGTTGCCCTAAAATCAAGGAAAAGGGCCGAAGTTACCCTTTAAGAAAGACAATGTCTAACCCGTATAACCGTTTATAGAACCTAACGTTGCAAAAAGCATCCTCATTGCGGCTACCGGTTAGGACAAAATTGCAAATCTAAAGACTGGTTCATATATTTGCGTTTGATTCTGACCGACTGCCTTACGACCGTTCGTGACTGCTTACAACGTGATGATAGGCTGGCTCCATCCATCGGGCAACCCTGGAACACATCCTCCTAACAAGTTTTTGCGCACAACTCTCACCATGTGCATAAACTAATTTGGAATACGTTATAGGCGACCATATTCAGAGATCGATCGAAGATTTTACATCGGAAACACTACCAAACATTCAATCTAGTTATACGCGAATCTAAAATGTTCCAGAGCTAAGCGACAGATGGCGTCTATGTGCCACTGAGTTTTCTCGTCGTAAGTCGTGTCACAAGCCGTAGTAACGCAGTCGGTCAGAGTCAAACGCAGACGCGGGAGCCAGCCTTAACAATAGCTCGAATGCGGCAATGTTTCATTGTCCTAATGGAATGTCACGCTAGGTGGAAACCTGTTGCAAATCTCGGAAGCTTGTCCTGACACTCAATGTTTTACACCTCGTGAACAGGCGTCCTATCCACCCTTGTCCTGGGATTCTCACTAAGGCGTGCGATATTGAAGTTGACCCAGATGCCCAACTGGGGAGACTACAGCAACGAACTTGGCTTCGTACACGGAATGCGTGTTCTTTCGGCTACCTGGGTAGTACTGGGGCACAGCCTCGTTGTAAGAGATATTCATCACAACTGTAAGTTGACAATTTTCGTGTTTTCTTGGGTTACAAGTTATGCTGTCACATTTTTAATTTTATTTATCCCGATGGCGTAAGCATTATATAGAGGAAAGTGGTTACACAGAAATCGAAACAAAATATAACATGTTGGAAAATATAATAGGTATTGTTTAGATATTGATAGAACCTAAGGGACTTTTAATAAAACAAAACACGTGATTAAGGCTACCGGAGCAGGATTGGAATTAGATATTCATTTGATATTAAAGTTGCAGTTCCGAAAACTAAGCAAAGAACACTTCAAAAACCTTTACCTAAAACTCGGAAACAACGTTAGAACGCATGATTTGCTAAACTGAATCCCTGAAATAATCAGCTGGTTACTCTTAGTATTTTGTTAGATTTCTACTGAAACTTAAAATCTGTGTAAAAAAAAATCCGTCTTTCAATTTTTTTTTTTCTATTAAGCCATTCGAAACTGAATATAGGTGTGAGAAGCAGCCCAGTTTCTTGTTCTGTTAAACTTTTTTTTGTGAAAAGATTTAAGCTTTTTTCACGTATTTTATTTATAAATTTATAAAATATTTATATCAGTATCGTAATGAAACCAGTGATTTTCCTACACACACCCCCTAAAATTTAGACACCTCCCCCCTCCCCCCCCCCCCCCCCCCCCGTCCCTAATTTCAATTCCTGAGGAAACCCCTGAATTAAACCTAGAGATGTCGAAGTCACTGCTGCTTCGAGCACAAATATAATCGTACACCCGCCGGCGGTATGAAGGTGAACGCCTGACCGTAGACCGGTTCGCGCTATCAGCGCCATGACGCGGCTGCCGTGGCGGCTCGCTTTCTTATCGCGCGCTTCGCCGAGAATGAGCGCTTGGATGGAGCGCTCTTCTCAGCTCTGCTCCTACTCCACTTAAAAAGTGCGAGGATTGCGGAAGGAGCCTTTCAGACGCTATAGGTAGACAATGTGATTTAGCAGTTTTTTTTTTTTTTTTTTTATACGTGTTAAACCGGAAGGCCGTAGAACAATTCAAAAAGTAGCTTATACTTTCCGTTTCTTAAAAAGAGCAGTTATTGGCGTTCGCTGATGAATAAAAAGAGCAGTTGAGTCACTGATAAACTATGCCGAACAACGTCCGCTCTAGTTCACGTGCAATGTGCAAATCATTTGCCGGCAATGACGTGGGCACGGCGCCCACAGAAAGCGATGCCGAAATCGAAACCCACTCTCACGCGTTCTGCGGGGAGTAGCAGCAGAGCTGAGAACATCGCTCGATCCAAGCGGTTAATCTCGGCGGAGCGAGCGATAGGAAAGCGAGCCGCCACGGCAGCCGCGTGTTGGCGCTGATAGCACGCACCAGTCGACGGTCCGGCGTTCACCTTCATATCGCCTGTGGGTGTACACCCTGTTCAGGAACAAATTGTGTTTCCAAAAACATGGTAGCGCTTGAGACGAGAAAACAGGAGTAGACTGGACAATACAGATCGCTGCGTTGTCCACTCTCCCACTTTGTCTTCCTCTCAAGCTCTACCATGTTTTTGAACAGCCAGTACCAACTCGCCCAAGAATCTGCACTGATAAATTGTGATTACCAATTTTCAACTCCCATGGGAAGCGAGGGAACGCAGAGATCTGTCCAGAGTTCGATCCCCAACGATTCTCTGCTTAATCTCGATTTTCTGGCCGTGTGACTTTTATCATGTGGCGCATTGTCAAAAAAAGATTAGCAATTGTACTGAACTTCCCTGTTTATCCATCTACAGCGTTGACTCCAGATGCCACTTTAAGGAAGAATAACTACCCACCGTCTAAACCTCCATTCAACAAGTCTGGCTTTTCTTTTTATGTTTCAGCCTTGCTTAGAACATAATACAACTCAAATAAAACAACCATTTCGATATTTAGAATATCTAATTAGTTTCATAATATACGTAAAAGTAGCAAAATAAAGTATCCGAAACAAACAAACCACAATACTCTACATGCAAATATTCCTAACACTTTTTTTTTAAATAACCTTGTGCTCACGTAATATTGTATTGCAGAGTTAAAGGCTACAAAATACTATACTGGTACATCAACAGGGTGTTCCACGAGAAGGGGACTAACTCGATATTGCGAAAACTACGCGTCGGAACAAAAAAGGGCTTATGTCGTTTTGGTCCTGAGCCAAGAGCCCATTTAGGAAAATATCAAAGTGTGGGATAATTATTATGTTAATTATTTTGCGTAATAAACTTTTTAATATTGCGTTTAAGGGCATGGTTTCAGTTAGAAAATTGCTCAGCATCATCGAAAAACACTAAATCAACCAATTGCAGAACGATAGAAGGCACGCGCAGCATTTTATGGCTTTCTAAAAGGTCGCTCACCTTCCACGGGTTTTTAAGTTTCAGTTTGCAATCGGAGCGTTTCTCGACCCCGACGGCACCGCGCCCGTGTGGAAATCGTGCAACCAACCTCTGCTGCGCTGTCCTCCCGCAACGCAGAAGAGGTTGGTTGCACTATTTCTCCACGGAGCGCGGTGCCATCGGTGGCAAGAAGCGCTCGGATTGCAAACCGAAACTTAAAAACCCGTCAAATTTGTGCGGTTTTTCAGAAATCCGTAAAATGCCGGGCGTGCCATCGATCGTTCTGCAATTTATTGATGTAGATTTTTTCGATGATGCTGTGCAATTTTCTATTTGAAACCATGCCTTTAAACACTATATGAACAAAGTTAGTTACACAAAAAATAACGACTTTATTATCCCAAACTTCAATAATTTTCCTAAATGGGTCCCTGGCCTAGGACCAAAACGACACAAGCCTCTTTTTTTTTGCGACGAGTTGTTTTCGCAATATCGAATTTGTCCATTTTTGTGAAACACCCTGTATATACGCCATATTGTGTTGTTACAAAAATTATAAGAACTATTTTCTCTCTAACACTTTAACTCATATTTCAGCTGATTTCATCGGTCTTCTCAGAAAAATGCAAAAGGACATATTTTTCTCCGTTCAAATGCAGTCGTTCATGGCTGTAGGGAGCTTCTTCGTCATAACGTACGTACACTGTTTCCAAAATAAACTAAGATTAAAGAGTTGCGTTTGCCCACTTGTGACATATTTTCGATATATTGTGATGCAGTGATCGAAAACCCAAACATTGATGCTATCAACTGTATGAAGAAAACATTCACACACTATCCCACTTTTGAAACCTTAAAGACGTCGAATAAACCCCAGCGGCCGCGGTTCGCCACTAGGGGAGAGTTGGAGACGGACAGGTGAAGAATCGATCTTGTCTTTTGTGGGCCGAGTCTTTTGCCCTTTTTTGGTGTATTATTGGTGGTCAAAATTTTAATACCTGGAATGCCTATGACCCTTTTTTTTGTAACCGATAGCTTCCAGTAACAAAGACAAGCATACTGACTTTCGATGAATGAACATTGATCAACAACTTCAACAATGCTTGCTGTCACCCTTCTTTACTCCTAACATCTGTTACATTCAGGTTTCGAATTATATGTACCCTTGAGAGAGTACTGCAATTATAATATAGCCGTCAATAAGCATTCTATTTAGTGTGCGTAGAGGTGAGATTGATCCAACGCTTGGTTGGGGTCACGTGGTTGATGTGCACTACATTTGCAATTCAAGGCGCGACGTTGTTGCAATATGTTCTTTTGTTTTCTCCCCCTATCCTCGTGCCTCGTGAAAACGCACGCACGAAATAGCAAAGAAAACCTTTGCACAAGAAGTTGCTCATTATTTCAATTTTATCGCCACACTCTTAGGCTCCCCCATTAAAGTGCAAGCGCTCTCTCCGTGGTCTGAGTTGCGTTTTCTCTCCAATCCTGCTCTATCTTTGTTAGTCAAAAGCAGCGCCATATGCCGGAGGTGCCTTAGCTCTTAACAGAGGAAGCTGTTGATTGCAGCTAATGTACCACATGACCGCGCGCCTCATTGCTCTCACTGGCAGCAGGGAATTCCAATTCTTGCTAAAAATAAAACAATTTGATAACGAGAACAAGTGCCGTTTTTTTTTTTCGTTGCACAAAGATTACGTGTAAAACTAAGGGATATCTGCCATTATCATGTTTTAAAATGTGTCATAAGTATGTTTCCCTCAACATGTGACATTAAATGTGAGAGAGAAAAGGAAAAGACACTTTGGGATACGCAGACTCATACAATATTCACGAACGCGTCGACTGCTAAATGCCATGTTTGTATACTGAAGTTATTTACACGGAAATTTGACCGCAAAAAAAAAGGAAAACACATTTTTGTACGATTCTCTTACTCTCAAGACAAAGCAATACTTTCCAGAAGTTGAGGAGTATTCTGCGACACTAACTGTAAACCGTGATTTCAGTCAAGAAGTGAAGCCCATATAAATGCATTATAAATCTGCTTTGAGGATATTTGGTAACTAAAATATGTCTGCACGATCCAAAAACATACTTTGTGCCCTTAATTAAACTAATTAACATTCACCTGTCCTCGCAGTGGATTCCTCTCCGGATACCTCGTGGTCAAAGCACCCAAAGTAAAATTTAACGTCTATCTTCTAGTGCTGATTGCCTTCATCAGGCGCTATATTAGGTGAGTCGTTCTCTTGCTTCAATAAATCATATATTTTAAAATAGTCAAAATTCTTTTTAGCACATAGCACTCTAGCAATATATGTGTCCATATTAAAATTTAAACAGATTAAATGTAAAAACTTACTCAAAAACATTATATGCACCCATACGACGTATACCCCATGATATGAAACATATGAAATACCCTTACAAAGAAAGACCTGAAAATTATGTAGTTTCATCAGCGAGATCACAATTTCAAGTAATTCAAGACCGTCTCTGTTATCTTATACACATATTGTATACATATGACAGACAAATATATGTAGTGCTGCGTCCTATACTTATTTCGGTAAAATACCGTAAATTGAAAATATACTGGAAACAGCTATGTGAAAAAAAAATATTTATGCTCCAACTGCCACAAAAGTATGGTACAGAAACATGGTCAAACATAAAACTGACTGACTTGAAAAGAATGCGTATAATCTATCATATAGTTCTTTTATGTGGTATTATGGATATGAGCCGTATGGATGCGTACGTTCTTTTTTAACCTTTCATTTCTTTCAATGCGCGCCGTGCCTCTAAACTTTCTCACTGTGATCAAATGTTGTTCCTTACCTGGGAAGCAGACTAGTCCCATCCATGCTGGCCGTTCTTGGAGCCTTGTACATAATTCCCCTTCTGGTCTCTGGTCCACTCTTGGAGGACATGTGGTCCTTTTTCGAGCGGCCCTGTACCAAACACTGGTGGAAAATCCTCACGATGACGCACAACTTCCCGGACGACATCACAGACTTCGTAAGCACACACAGTAGACATACAACAACCCAGATCTCTTAATTCACACCATGGCGGTGGCGCTTGGACATAAGTGCCGCGTCATGGTTTCGCTGGTAGTGGTGTCGAATGAGTGCGATGCTTGACGTGACGCTCAAAGCCAACTGCTTAGTTCGCCAATCCGAGTGCAATAAAGAAGTTAGCAGGCTTTCAGTCTGAGTATAGCATTGGCCATAGTTGCCTTGTGATTCGGCGGAAGCACCAGCAGGGAAAACTGGAAAACGACGCGAGGAAAGATTAAAAGTGTAATCCCAGACTAAAGAAACGGTTGTCCATCATATACTTTTCATTATGCAGTATTGACGAAATTTAGTTGAAGGACCACACGAACATTTGTTCAACACATTTTGCGAACCTGTCAAGAAAGCCACTATTCGAATGTGAGAGCTGATCAAATCTTCTTCACTCTGTTGCAGGTTAAGAAAGGTGGAACAAGCACCTCCTTAAAATCCCTCCAGTCTTTCCACTTTAGTGAGCCTAATATACCCATTAATATTCGCAAATAAATAAATGACAAATATAAAGCGAATGCTGGAGGGGATGCAAGCCCACTCGCCTCTTCCCCGGCGTTCGTTCTCGTAAAGGGTCCGAAAGACTGGAGGGATTCGCGTGAGGAACTTGTCCTTCTGTTTTCGGTTTTTCTGCAACAGGGCCTAGAGGAGGTCCGAGCAAATTATCTAATACATGTAGTGCATTGGAAAAGAAAAACCTACCAAATTGATACACTGCCGTTCCTTTAAGCGCGTCATTGGATTTACAACTCAGGCAACCACGGCAAGTATTGAGAGTGCTGTAAACTATCACTTATAGAAGTTTGAAAATAAGTTCCGGCATTACTGTAACTGTATGCAAAATAGAACAATAAACAAGAACAGGAAAGTTCAGCTGTACCTTTTGAAATTCATAGAACGAGCGAAGTAATATGCTAAATAAAGGGAATACGTTTGTTTTGACTTGGTTATCCAGTAATTAACTTGGTTACAATAGAGTGAGTGAAAAGTGGCAATAAATTTGTAACGCTTTCAAGTCTGAACGAACTAAGGACACCATTCCCACATACGGTTCATTAGGTTGTCTTACAGCTAGTGTGAAACACTCCAAGTTCATTTATCACTATCTTTCTCTGAGCACAAGCCAAGGCCAGTGCAAGGCTAACAATGCCCGCCGCGCCATCTATCACAAGAAAGCTCAACAATTATAAAAGCTTCATCGGCTGTTCATTTTTTGTCGTCACTTCCTTTGGTCTTGACCAGCTGCCACTGAATTAATGTTGATTTTTCCGAATATAATGATGTTTCGTCACAGAAGGCGAAATCAAGCGTGGCCGAATCCATGGAGTCGGCAGGTTGAACGATCAGTTCTCGTTCGTTTGATAGTTAGTTCTCGGGATCACTGAGAATAGGCGATTCTTATTTTAATTAATAAAGCACTACTACTATCGATATTGACTCAGCAATGGTTTTCCGACCAAGTGGGGAGTAACAAAAAAATTCGAACAGCCGCTGAAATGCCACTCGTTCGCACAATACCCTCAATTAGGGTGACCACCTTCCTGCTAGCGAAATGCGGGACACGCTCACCCCGGGGGGTGGGGGGTCGGAGACTAACGGTATTACGCTTAGACTGTGGCAACCGCAAAAATTAACTTAGTGCGCAGTCGAGCTGGGGGAAGTTTACCATGATGCTTTTTCCTTAGAGACTAAGGTAGAAGCAGGAAGCATATTTTTCCCTCCTTGCGCCCCAGTCTCAGGTTGTTGTTTTTTTACCTGAGACTGGGGCACAAGGAGGGAAAATAGAATCATAGAAAAAAAAATATTTGAGGAAATTTATCAACAGACGCCACGAAAAGTGGCTCTCCTAGCACATTTAACATCCTGTCTTGTCTCAAAGCATATTATACAGCTGCAAATTGTATTGCGGCAATTCAGCTGAAATAATTTTCACTCCCAGTGATATATTTTTAGTTTTAATGGCACATGTTAACAAATGTGCTTAAGGTGAAAACATAAAATCGACTGCAGCAGAATTCAAAGCATCAGAAGAAAACAAACAGTAAACTTTTATGGCTTCTTGTTTCCTGATAATTCTTAGATCCTTATTTTTACCAACACGCTACAACAGAAATCTTGAGTCTTGTAGTTTTTAACCGATTTGAGTTGCAGTCGTTTTGTCTTGTAGATGTCTTCACACAAAAAATTGACAGCAACGTTTTTGCATTGACACAGCACGATTTGGAAATAATTACAAGAATTTATTTTCAACTTTTGGCAAGCAATTTTCCCTCTAATATATTGCCACCAAGGGACGAGAGGCACAACGGCTCATGAGCGTCAGTTCTAATGCGAGAACGACGGACGCTTCCCGCAATGCTTGGATCGAAAATGCCGCATGAAATATCATCGGTCCCATCGCGATTCACACGATTGCCAGCGACCTCCGCACTTCCCCGAGCCCCGTTGTTCAGCAGCGCCACGAGTTGCATAGTGAAGTTTACGGCAGCGTGAAATGCGGGACATTTTCAAGATTTTGGTATTTCATGCGGGACGCAGGACACGAGCCCTCAGTACGGGACAGTCCCGCAAGTCGCGGGACGGGTGGTCACCCTACCCTCAATGCCAACTCAACTTACTTCCGTTAGAAGGGACTGCAGGGTCTTCTGAGCCACGCGCTCAGCAGGTTTCTTTCATATCGTCAGCGACTGTACCACCATTCTTTGTCCCGATCATAAGAGCGTGGCTTCTTTATACGTTAATTTTTTTTTAAATATAAAGATATCATGACAAATAAAATGCCTCAAATGAAACATCCTAGTCATGACGCTTTTGTGCTACGTTACAGTGTATGCCGCACTACTGGTACATATCGGTGGATTTTCAACTGGCCATGGTTAGTACAATCATTCTTGCTGCTGTTACACCAAGGTGAGAGCACGCAATAATCATACCGGCCCCGTATTTTCTCACATTACGTTGAGCCTTTGAAATTTTATGCGGAAGGTCTTTATGACTGCCTCCATCTTTTCTTTTATTTTCAGATGGCCGAAAATGGGTCTGGTAATTATGGCAGCCATCGTAATCACTACTTCCATCGCAACGGGTGTTGTTACTTACGTTAACAAATACCTGCCTTACCTTTTCATATTGACAACGAGCATCAGGTGCGTCTTACTTACTAGACAACAATGAAGGGAGGAACGTCAGCAACAATTGTGGGATTTACAGGGTGTCTCAAATAGCAACCAGGCTCTTTAAAGCGACCGCAAAAATCGGTTTCTTAAGCAAGCGCGCTACGAGTTTGTGAAGCGTTGCCCAAAGGTGGCGCATTTTTTCTTTAAAATTTGCAAAAAGCAATCTTTCCAGAGGAAAAAGGAAAAAAATAAAAAGTCTTAACTCCTATGGAAACCCAGCGAAGCCACCGGTCCTCAAACAATAGGACGTTGTTTCGCACGGGAGTCAAGGAATGGTGCAAGCGGTCGCGACGTCAACTGCAGCCAACGAACGACCATACGGCGCCGAGAGCCGGCGTCATTAGCCGACGATCTTTTCGACTCAAAAGCGGCGCTCGCTCCGCAGGCGGCGACTGTCGCAGAACCAAAAACAGACGCGGTAACAACAAAGAACTGCAAAGCAAACGATATAAGTACCCCGAAGAAAAGACAAACCAATTTTTTAATCAATTATGTGTCCATTTAGGGTATCTTATTAGTAAGGATGATAAAATCATTCATTCGCAACTGACATCGAAAAAGTTCACACCGCTTTTGAGTCGGAAAGATCGGCTGCTAATCGCGCCGGCTCTCGGCGCCGAATGCTTGTTCGTTGTCGGCATTTGGCGTAGCGACCGCTTGCGCCATCTCTTGTCTCACGTGCCCAACGGCGCCCTATTGCTTATAAACCGGTGTGGCTTCGCTGCGTTTCCATGGTAATTAACCTTTTTTTCTTCGTCTTTTTACTTTTCTCTTTAGGCAAGCTCGCCTTTTCCAAATTTTATTGAAAAAATGCACCACCTGTGGGCAACGCTGCACAAAATCGTTGCGCGATAGGTTAAGAAACCGATTTTTGCGGCCGATTTAAAGAGCCTAGCCGCAATTTGAGACACCCTGTATCGTTGCCGAAAACTTGAGAAACGTGGGGTGTGGCTAATCATTTAACACTTGTTTTCTTTGTGATCTGTTCTCTGACGTTCTTATTGGCTGATGAGGCAGTCCTATTGGGCTTGGAGCGGTGATAAGATGATCGTGACTCGCGACTCTCTGCGCTTCTTAGGCTGTCGGTGACCCTAACAAATGACGATTTTCGGAATGTTTCAGAAGGGCAGACACACGATTTGTTAATGGAGAGTTTTAGGGAACCGTTCTTGCACATCCGATACGGTACGATGGGCCCTCTGGTACGAAGTGCGCATGCGCCACCGTAGAAGACCCGCACACGCGCAGTTTGTACCGGAGGGTTTATCCTACCATTATGTATGTGCAAAAGCGGTTCCCTAAAATTCTCTGTTATTTCTTTTTTTATGTATATAGTATTTGATATCGGCAAATTTTTCTGAATTGAAAACTTGTCGCACTTGTGTACTCCGGCAAGAAAAATTCTAGAAATGCAGCTAAGTTTTCTCTAAGAAATCTGGATATGAAATGGCAAGAACAACGTCAAAATATCTGCTTTAACACTTCTTCTTTCGTACCTCAAACATCCGCGAACAATGCAATGGACCTTTCCCAAAAATTGTTCTGCGCACGCGCGAGCGCTCGATGCCAAGCGGCGTAAGTCGGCACGAAAAATCGAGGAAATTCGGAAGGAGGCTGCGGATCAGCGAGTAGAGCACGTAATTGCAGCATATATATCCCTGTGTTACACAAAAAAAGAAAGTGGACGGAAAGAAAAACACGACGTTTAGGTGGACGCCATGGATGCCCCTCTTTAAAGTCCTGTTGGGAACGCGCCGACGCTCAGAAAGCGAAGAAACTGGTAGCGTAACTCCCATTATCGATTGGTAGCGCAGGTAGGTTACTTCCTCGATTTTTAGTTCGTGCAGCCACCGCCTGGTGCCGTCGGTATGTGGAAAAGGTCCATTTGACTTTCCCGAGATGCGCGCGATCCAAATTTCGACTATCTCGACACGTTCCTGATGTCTGTCTTACATTCAACAGGCGAATCACCAACACAGCGATACACGTCTACATCAGCCCCTACGTCAACGCTCCGTCACTTTTCACGGCCATAATCTTCGGCTGTCTCGCCGCGAAGCCGCACAAGCTGTCCCGAAAAGTGCAAGCCTTCATGTGGGCGCTGTCCGTGGCACTGGGCATCGCGTCAGTCTTCACCATTTTCACCTGGCATAGCGGTCGCCATCCCGAGCTACTCGAGACAGCTTTCTACGCGGGCTCGCACAGGTTCGCCTGGGCTTTCGGTGTTTCCTGGGTCATGTACGCCTGCGCGACAGGCCGCGGAGGGCCCGTCAACAAGATTCTCGCCAATCCACTGTTCTACCCGCTGGGGAGGCTCTCGTACGCCCTTTACCTCGTGCATCTCCTGGTGCTTGCCTGCAACGCCATTCTCAACAGGGATCGCAGGACGTACCAACCTTTTCTTCAGGTGCGATTCGAGAGTAATTCTCTTGTGTGTTTTTATTGACAGCGGGAAATTAGTCAGCCCCAGTGGGCAGCTGGTGTCTCCACTGGATATGAAAAATTTATTAGTTGCATTACCACTGCTAGCCTGTGCGGAGCGCCAGTTCGTGTGCTTCTTCTGCAGGGGTCGTGGTGACGTCAGAACGCCGAGCTCTGATTGGCTTTGATTTCAGGATAGTAGGTAGTCCTCGAAGGAAGGTCCTCGAGGACCTTTCAGGACCTTGAGGAAGGTTCTCGAAGGACCTTGAGGTCTACAAACTATCACTCAATCAGATACACACGGAGATCGTCGTCGTTCTGACGTCACCGCAACTCCAGCGCAAGAAGCAGACGACTTACTCTCCGCATGGGGTCGTCTTTAACGTGCATCACGTAGTAGTAGGGACACATGACTGCACGCTGGTAAGATGCTCATCCAGATAGAAACTGGCAAGGGGTAGGTATTGAAATGAGGATCCCTGAGTTCTTGGAAGCGCGAGTATTTGGAGTGTCAAGCTCCCTGCATGATAGCAATTTCTCCTGGTGAGCTTGAACATACAGCAAACAGTTAGCCAGGAACGTCGGCCGCCAATATGAAGCTATCCTTGAGAATGATGTAAATCATAGCGTACCGTACAAGTAGTATACAATTAAAATCACTGACAGCCATTGCCACGAAAAATACGTATCCAGCCGTGGTACCCTGACGCAACGGAAGTGAATGTGAGTACACGAAATTCGGAAGAGAGCAATTCTTGTTTTCGCTTAATAAACATGGTGAGAGCACTACGTTCAGGCATCCCATAAGGCCGCCATTCCACTTTTTTTTAAAGTTAATTATTTAGGTTTCCCCGCCACGATCTTATCTGGCACGGATCAATTGCCCAAGATCAAAATATAGATGAAAAAACTACAATACTATTCGGAAGGTTGGTTGAGACAAAATTGGTAATGGGAATGTTCTAACACACGTCCCCTATGCGACAAGGGTCATTCATACAACTGTGACGTACCCTCGCAACCGCTGAATGAGGCGCTTTGATTGAACATAAGTGTAATTATGGTATTAGGTTTTGTTTATAATTTCGAAATATTGCTCGCATGGGTAATGTTCGAGGCAGAAATAGGCTATACACGCAAGCAAACCCACGCATGTTTCACAAATCGACTTCAAAATCAATAAATCAATAAAACTAACAAGCAACTCCTCTCATTGTATACTGTAATCATTAGAAATAAAACGAAAACCATTCGTTCCCCTTTTTTGTTTTCGTTAAATTTACCTAATGAATACACTGGCCGCGTTAGTAGTTTACCTTAAAGCCATATTAAACACTTCGTTAACGCAGCAGCAATCGCCCTGTAATATGGACGTTCGCCCTAATTCAGTGGTTTAATTTTCACGTTATGTTGTCTTTCAGGGCCAGGAATACATCGGAGCAACCATCACGTCCTACGCTTTTGCCACATTCGTGTACCTACTCGTCGAATGTCCAATTGCGGTGATAGACAACTTGATGTTCAGCGGGATGAAGGCCAAGTACGACGCCGAAATTGCGTCTTCTCAACAAAGCCAAGAAATGAAGACTATCAATATCACGAACGGCGCACCTCCCAGAAACCTCATTTCAAGTGGTGGTCAGCACCAAAATGAATACCACAAAGAAAATAATCCGGAAAAAGCAGCGAAGGACTATGTGGATTTCCGTTATGAGGACCAAAAGAACTACCTCAATATGCATCAGAACGGCGGATTTGAAAATGATAGTGACGAAAATGTTGTCAACCGTAATGATGCAATCGTCAAAGTGAAATTTTAGACAAACCAAGATACGTATGCGGAATTAGTAACTAAAATAAATATCTGCTTTTCATTATCATCTTTGCAAATTTAGTATGATTGTGCTATATCTAACTTGGTCTGATTTGCTTCTCACGCTCCTGCTTCATTCTGATGAAGCAACGTTATATAAAAAGAAAAAAACATACTGTTAAGCATTGACGTTCATTGACATACCATGTATTTATAACTAGAGTTTCGTGTTTTCAGTGTATATCAGTACACCCCGAAAAATAGTCCCCTAGCTGGTTGTATCAAAATAGGATGAAACTGAAAACCCCGAACTTGAGCTGTCCTTAAATAAGAAAACCCACGCCTCACGGGAATAAATCTTAATCTACAGCTTGTTTTAATCCTAAAAGAACCCACGCCCCAAACTGTACACCAGGCTGTTTATAATTTAAATAACCACACCCCCTAATCTTCTTTTTTTTTTTAGATAATGCAATTTGTTTTATGTATTTGAGTCTCGAGCATGTTCCCTGGTTAATAAAAAATTTCGTGCCTGTTTTTTTTTTTTTTTTTAACACACATAATCTTGATTAGCACTGATTTTTTGTACAAAACTGAAAACCGACATCAGTCAAAAAACCTAAACCCCGAAATCAGGGAACCCTATGTATATGATGAATTCCGTGAACGTAAAATCATGCTTACCCAATTGCAACACTGAGCAAGTTATGCAAAGAATGAGGCCTTAAAAAGTGAGAATTTACAGACAGCACAGGTGAAACCAACTGCATTATCTCGGTTATAACTTTATTTTGGGCACGGTTGTGACGTCACTTCAAAGGAAAAGGAGGTGGTTCCGCTGCAGGTTACGATGTTTAGTGGTGCTGTGGCAGGTAATGTCGTGTTTTGCAGAAAACAAATTAATATGTCGCCACCCTCGTCTCAAGCAAACGTGGCAATCTCGTGCCATATGTAGTAATATTTTTGTATTGTTTTAGTATAGACTTCCCACGTAATATGAGTGTTATAACATCCTCAGTGACGGTATAATTTTTTTTCATATCTTTTGTTGTACTCCAAACCCGAGACCTATTTTGATTGTCCCTGCTCGTTTATAATGAACAGAGCACCAAATATGAGATTCCTCGGGCTGAGTTTAGCGAACATGAAATAATTGGATCAGTGTGTAAAAATCCCGTTCGCAAAGTGAGCGCCCTTTAGTTTGTCTAGATGTTACCAAAATAATTAAATATGTTAGTTCCTCATCTAGATGCCAGAAATTGATGATGCAAAAAAACACGCTTGTTTTTTTTTTATATATCTGTGGGAATTACTTGTCATGTATGTAAAAAAAACCTACGCATGATACGGTCAATAAAAAGACTGTTCACTGAAATCACAGCGATAATACTCAATGCTATCAGATATACGAGTGGGGACCGAAAAGTAACCAGATTTAGCTTCTGAAGGGCGGGCCGTTCGAAGTACCAGCTTCCGCCGCTAGCAACGCTTTGCGGCACACCTTCCAAGCCAGTTTGAAGGCAGGCGTCGTCTGCAAAAGCTCTAGCTGCGCAGCTAGAGCTTTTGCAGACGCCATGCTCTCCGAACGCTTCAAAATAATTTTTCGTTTTTTTGCAATGCCTATTTTGGAGGAGCATCGTGCGGTCGTGAAATTCTGTTTTCTTTTCAGAAAAACGGCGGCGGAAACTCTTGTAATGCTTCAGACAGCTTACAAAGACGATGATATAAAGAAATCGCAAATCTACGAGTTTGTGTTGTGTTTCTTTTTTTTTATGGCCGGTGAACTATTGATCGAAAACCAACCTCGTTTAGGAAAACCCTCAACCCCCTCAACTAATCAAAACATCGAAAAATGTTCGGGCATTGTTCACTCCGAGTTTGTTCCTCCTGGTGAACGGTAAATCAATTAACAGTTTTAGTGAGTTTTGTGACGCCTGCGCAACTCAGTGAGGCAGAAACTCCCCGATTTGGGGAAAAGGGGGGAGTGATGGTTCCGTCACGAGAATGCCCCGGTACATACTACCCTGTCAGTGCTACAAGTTTTGAACAAAAAGGGCATGACACCGCTTCTCCAACCTCCTATTCACCTAACCTGGCCCCGTGTGACTTTCGTCTGTTCGTTCGTACAAAAAAATGTTCTGAAAGGAACACGTTTTGTGAATATCGAAGGTCCTTCAAATCAGACATTTCAAAAAATCAGGAATAATTTTGAAGCGCTTGGAGACAAAATCACGACATGCGGCTAGAACTTTAGCAGACGACGCCGGTCAGCAAACTGACTTGGAAAGGGTGCCACTAAGCGCTGTTAAGGGCGGAACCTGGTACTACGAACGCCGCGCCCTTCAGAAATTAATTCCAGTTACTTTTGCCCCCCCCCCCCAACTTCTTCCGTACTAGGGATGTGACAATTAGTCAATTAATAATTTAAGCTTCACGTTTCCAAAAACATTGCCAAACTTCGCAGCTTTGCGCGAACTTCAGACGAAATTACCGTTTTCTAATCACGGCAAATGGGAAAAAATAATATTTTGAAAACGATCAACATTCTATTTTTAAATACACGTGAGATTTATATCTTTATTGGCAAACATATATTTTCGTAAAATTCCTAAACTAAATGCTGCTTTTTTTTATTCTTTTTTTTCTTATAAGACACTAAAAATCTGTGTCTTAAATATGGCCATTATGGCCATCTTCCGTCAGCAAATTTCTTTAATTGCCCCCTGTGAGTGTCAAAAACACAAAAGCATTTTCATTTACTGCTCCTTCCAACTTCTCCGCAGGACTGAAAAGCAAATGTTGAAATAGCCGAGCCAAGCTTCCTTTAATTAAACACTATTGAAAACCGAAATTCAATTGCCTCGATGCAACGTAGCGCATCTCCTTCCCAACGCCTCAAACATATCGTCCTCTTGAATTCGGGTGGTCGCCTCTCTCCTCTGACCTTGATTCAGCAGAGCGTCCTCTCCTCGCCGCCAGAGCTATTCGGGATCCTTTTCAGCCGATCAGAACTGCGGGCTTCAGAGCGCTCCGACATTCTCAGACCAGTCACGTAATTAAGATTTCTTGACATTGGTAATGCATTAAAAACAACACGATCTTACAGCGTACGGTGGACGATTGAGCAAAATTTACACTCGCAACGCGATGAAATAACGGTTGTGGCGTAAATTGTTTTACGCATCGTCATGTAAAAAAAAAAACAAACAGCAGTATGCGAAATGATTGTTGCAGAACGCAACGAAAGCCAACGCTTGGAGCAGTTGTTAGCTCATCGCGTTTTCGACAGTGAACGCGCTGCGATAGCGGCCATGCGTACGACAGGGCAGGCAGATATAAATTGGTTTATAACAGTGTTGTACACGTTCCTCAAAAAAAGGAACGAAAACTCGTTCCTCGTTCCTCCTGATTTTTGGAACGCGTTCCCGTTACAAGTTCCATTTGTGAAAAAGGAACTCGTTCCCGTTACAGTTTAGAAAAAGGAACGTACTGTTACATATACGCTACATTTGTATTTTGATGATTACCATATTTAATTGGATCAAACAGAGTTGTTTTTGTTGTTTTTTAATCTATCCCATCAATAGGCAACATACGAATTGGAATGCCGTGATGGAAGGACAGGAGAAGAAGACAAGCGGAAGCAAGGTTTCATTTGTTGATATACTCACGTTTAAAACTCTCAGCTTTGGGCTATATTCATATTTGTGGTGGGCAATTCAGACGAGCCAAATGTACTGTTGCACGCGCGTTTTACAACAATCTCCCGTTTCAATCAAACAAAGTTCCTTGTTCGAACTTAACAACACTTGCTTCTCGATGTTTCTGTCCGCAAGACGAGCAAGTGGAGGAGAGGGTAGGGTTTTTGGAAGGCGAGTCTTGAAAGCTGCCAGTACTTCGTGAAGGTTAGATTCTTTGTTCTGTTTTAAGGTGGGGGACACAGGGAGAATAAATTAAGGTTAATTTTTGTGTATACTTTAAGTGACCAATGTTCGGGATACAAGGTTGCGTTTGATGTCTTGTCACCCGTTGCTCTGTTGTCACTGTAGGTCTCTTTCTGAAAGTTCAGTGATGGCTGTAGTCGCCGCTAGATTTCTGGTGTATGAGGATTGGTGGAATCAAAGCAAGTAACTGAGTTTGAGACGTCCCTCTTTTTGTGTCTTTTTTTTCGACTAAACGTTTTGGTTTTTTGTACTGCAGTCTCGGCCACTGAAAAAAAAGTATCGCTGTTCATTAGCTTTAGTGCACCCAACTGTTACCAAGAGAAAACCTCACAAAATAAACCCTAAAAAGCCATTGACACTCTTGCAACCGAGTACGACCGAGAGAGACAAGACCGGTTTTTTAAGCCTTTTGCGACGTCTTAGGACCAGCTCCAAAGCAGCGCATCTGGTCCTAAGTCGTCGGAACAAGCTTAAAAACCGGTCTTGTCTCGGTCGGTTCGACTCGGTTGCAAGTGTGTGAACGGGTCTTAAAGTGCCATTTACATACTTGCAACCGAGTACGACTCAGCGAGACAATACCGGTTTTTAAGCCTCTTACGACGGCGTAGGCCCAGACGCGCTGCTGCGGAGCAGGTCCTTCGTCGTCATAAGTTGCTTAAAAACAGGTATTGTCTTTCACGGTCGTACGCGGTTGCACAAGTGTGTCTTAAGATAAGTAACAAATAAGTTAACGAAAACCTGCTATTCGTAATGATATTGTTTTTATACATTTTAGAATTTTCCTTTTAGAAATAAATTAAAAATTACCCCACTGGACGAAAAAAAAGGAACGCCGTTCCTTCTTCCGTTCCAGTAAAAAAGTAACGCGTTCCCGTTCCAGTTCCAGTGATGCAAAATGGAACGGCGGCGTTCCTTCGTTCCTCCGAAAAGGAACGCGTTCCAGGGACGCCGTTCCTTGGAACGCCGTTCCGTACAACACTGGTTTATAAACCCCCTTTTTCTCACGGCGAAATATCGTGCAAGCATCGGAATGTGACACTAACCACAGTGCATTATATTCAGC